TGAGCATGGTTCAAGTGGTGGAGCACCTGCTTAGTAAGTATGAGACCATAAGTTTAAACCCCATACCACTCAAATGGGAAAAACTAGGATGAAGTTCATCTGCATGTATTGAAATTTTAAACAAATGCTAGTAAGGGTCCAGGCACCATGTCTCATGCTTTTAATCCTAGCTATTCAAGAGACTAAGATCTGGAGTATCAAGGTTTAAACACAGCCTAGGCAGAAAAATCCATGAAACTCCATCTCTAAAAGAACCAACAAAACAACTGGGCAGAAAGATGGCTCAAGTGGTATAGTGTCAACTGAGCAAGCAAGACAAACAAGTGAGAAGTCCTGGGTTCAAACACCAGTACTGCGCTCCAAAGAAAACCACATCTGTAATCCTAGCCACTCAGGAGACTAAGATTGAGGATCATGTTTCTAAGCCAGCCTAGACAGGTCTGTGAGACTGTCATCTCCATTTAATTACCCAAACTATGGAAGTAGAGCTGTGATTCAGGGTAGTGGAGCACTACCCTGAGCACAAAAGCTTAAGGATAGCATCCAGACCCTGAGTTCAAGCCTCAGGACCAGCACCAAACATTAAAAGAAAAAGAGGATACATACAATCATTGGAATGTATATTTAAAAAAAAAACTAACAATAGGACGAAGTTTTAAATTTCACTGTTTTTGTACTATTTATAATTTTAAAGTGTAAACATATAAAAGTTTTCAAAAACAAAGTATTTACAAAGAGAGGAGGTTAATGGAAACTATCAAATATATAAATGTCAAAAAGGATGTAGGCCAAGATAAAAGCCTTAAGACTAGATGATTAGGAAATTCTGTAAAAGTAAGGGCTGGGAAGGTGGCTCAGTGGTAAAGTGCTCGCCTTGCAGGCATGATGCCCTGGGTTCGATTCCTCAGCACCACATAAGCAGAAAAAGCAAAAGTGGTGCTGTAGCTCAAGTGATACAGTGCTAGGCTTGAGCTTAAGAGCTGTGTGGGACAGTGCCTAGGCCCAGAATTCAGGCCTCACGATCGACCAAAAAAAAAAAAAAAAGAACAAATTCCGAGAAAGTAGTTGAGTAGTCATTGGAGTACTGAGAGAGACAACTGTTGTAGGGTCGAGAGGAAAGGAAAAGAGCAGTAGATGAGGTCAATTTGACTAAATTATTATATATGCGCATCTGAATCACCGTGGGAAATCCCTCTGTACAATTAATATGTGCTAAAAATTTAAAAAAAAGACTAGTAAAGTAAAACAGACTCTGTTGGGGGTATATACCAGCGAGAGGAGGAACAATAGAGATGGTAAGACTGAATATCTATATCTTTATATGTGTGTGTGCGTGTAAATAGAACAATGAAACCTGTTTAAATTGATTTAAGAAGGGAGGAAGGGGGAGGCAGGAGAGAGATGGAAGAGTTTAATTGGGGTACACTGTTTATGCATATTTTCTGGAAGTATCATACTGAACTATCTCCCTTGTACAACTAATACATATTAATAAAAAAATCTTAACAACAACAAGAACTGGGTGGGGGCGCCGGTGGCTCACGCCTGTAATTCTAGCTACTCAGGAGATTGAGATCTGAGAATTGCAGTTTGAAGCCAGCTTGGGGAGGAAAGGCCATTAGACTCTAATCTCCAATAGATTACTCAGAAAAAGCCAAAAGTAGCTTGGTGGCTCAATTGGCAGAGCTCTAGCCTTGAGCAAAAGAAGCCCTGAGTTCTAGCCTAGGACTGGAAAAACAATAAAACAAAAAAAAACCCAAGTGTATTTAAGTGATTGAGAAGACAAGTGGCTTAAGAGAGTTAAGGTTTGCTGGAATAAATTTGTGAACTGGTCAGTTTTATGAATCTGCATGTCTAAATACGTATGTATATATATCTATATATGTGAGTATGTATGTTTGTATACATATACATACACACACCCTTTTCTGTTTAGGGAAAGGCAATTATAGATTAGATCAGGGACTAGAAATGGTCAAATAGGACCTATTCTTGGGAAATGTAGAGTGCTTATAGCAAGAGTACTTGGAGGGTAGTGCAAGTTGGCAAGGTGAAAGGTTGAGAGTGAGCTAGATGAAGATGATATCCTAATAGAAATAACCTATGGGTTTTTTTTTGTCAGCCGTGGGGCTTGAACTCTGGGCTTGGGCCCTAATAGAAATAACCTATACATCATTTTTTTTACACTAGCAAAGGTAATTGGGTAATAGGAATAACATTCAGTTAGAGGAACAGAAATCAAGGAAATAACTTTTACTTACCATTTAGCAGATTGATGGAAAATCATATTACAAGATTTTAGCTACAAAGGCTATAATTCTATTTCCTTATAGTCAGCAAAGAGAAAAGCAGTTTAAAGCCTTTCATACACTCAGGTTTTATCAAAAGAGAAATGGCAAGCTGAGTTGACATAATGCCAACTTTTTGATCACAGAAAATTTCTTTCTAGAAAGGATGATTTTCATAAAAAGAGTGATTTACGAGACAAAAGCAAGAAGAGTCAATGTAATCAAAATTTTGCCTTTTGGTTTTGAATACAGTGGTATGTGTATTTGACTTCTAGAATTGAAACTCCTTTGTACAACTACTTTAAAAACAGCAAAAGGTGGCTCATGCCTATAATCCTAGATACTCAGGAGGCTGAGATCTGAGGATCACTATTCAAAGCCAGCCAGTGGGGCAGGAAAGTCAGTGAGACTATCTCCAATTAACCCCCAGGAAACTGGAAGTGGCACTGTAGCTCAAGTGGTAGGGTACTTGCCTTGAGTTGAAGAGCTCAGGTACAGTACCCAGGCCCAGAGTTCAAGCCCCACAACTAGCAAAAAAAACCCAAAAACAACAACCCAAACCCTAAACAAACAAACAAACAAATGCATGAAAAGCAAATGAAATCCCAGTATGGTGACTTAGGCCACACTAGAGCAGCAACAATCACCTTGCATTGGTTATTTCATAATAATGTTCCATGAGTGTTCGGGGACCCCATGAGAGAGTGTTTTTGGATCAGGTGAGACTCATTCTAGGGCATTCAAAATAGTCATAGTTGAACCTACAACTAAAGTGAAATTAATGTTTGGCCCCCAAGGAACTGTGACCTCTTGATCATAGCTAACATCTCCATCGGGTGGCCAAGCCTGAAGCCATCCCTGCACCTGATTTTATGAGATTACAGTGCAGCTGAACCTGCCCTTGGGGCCATGAGTCTGCTGTTTCTTGGGATGACAGGTCAAGTCAGATCTGAAACTAGATGAGAAACTGTGCTTATTGGACTTGTCTTTTCAACTGGGTCTAAGTAGTGTTCCGTTAAATAGTGCAGAAAACCACGACCTCTAACAGAGAGAAAAATTGCTAGGGTCATTTTTAAAGGTAAGATTTTTTTTAAAGATTGAGTCGTCGAGCAAAGATACATAAAAACAATTAAATCCAATAAATGAAAATGTTCACAAATTAATGATTTGGCCATTAGCTTTCATCAAAATTAGGTAGAAAAAGACAATGAGATTGATATCCTTTGGACAGCAATACTTGTGGTCTCTTAACTTGAAGTAGTTAGTAAACCAGCCAAATGCTTTTGAAAAATCAAGTAAATTTAAGTCTGACTTAAAGTACTACTTTGTAAAATGAAAAAGGAATACACACATGGTAGGAATTTTCAAGTAGTTATCTCATTCTGGAAAAGCAATTTTTAAATTTCTAATTGTATGTTCATTCCACAAAGAAAAACATCCTAATAAGCTGTTGGGTTTAAACAGTATGAGTATTTAAATTTTTGTCAGATATAGGGAAACTAGCTTCTAAATATATTTATAATCTCACCAATAGCATATAAGAGTGCTTGTCTCTTCACAACTGTCCTTTTTAAGATATTAGAAATATGATTGAGAAATAATATCTTTTTGGGGTGGTACTTGGAATTTCAACTCAGGGTGTTGAACTTGCTACCCTGCTGTGATTCTGTTGAGTCACATACCTAGCCAGGTTATTGATGTATATTTTTTTGTGTATCAGTCCTGGGACTTGAACTCAGGGCCTGGGCACTGTCCCTGGGCTTTTGTGTGCTTTACAATTTGAGCCACAACTCCAATTCTGGCTTTTATGTGGTTAACAGGAGATAAGAGTCTCACAAACTGTTGTGCCTTGGTTGGCTTTGAACCATGATTCTCAGATCTCAGCCTCCTGAGTAGCTAGGATTACAGGTGTGGACAAGTGCCACCTAATAATAATACAACTTTAATTAAAAATTAATAGCATACATTTATTGTTAGCTTTCATTGTAACACTTTTATTACAGGTATACAGTGTTTCCAATCATCCTCACTCCCTTTGTCATTCCTTAAGTTCCTGCACCTCCTTCTTAAAGCAATTTCAACAAGTATCATTGTTCTGTTTTATGCATATATATAAAGGCCTTTCACCATATTTACTCTGCTTCACCCTTTCCACTCACTTTCCCCCTTTCCCTCTCTGCTGATCTTGCCCCCTATTGGAGCCTGCTTTACTTCCCTGTTATTAAAGAAAGTATGTTAGTTGTATCAAGAAGAAATAATGTGTGTGTGTGTGTGTGTGTGTGTGTAGGAGCATGAATTATTATTTTATCATCCAGACTGGCTTTGAAATCTTTCTGTGGCCCAGGCAGGCCTAATACTTGTGATCCTCCTAAACTCATCTTCCTTTGTACTGGGATTACAGGCCTGCACCACTATGCCTAGTTGAGAAGCAACTTCTTAGCAATTACAGATTAATGAGGAAACAGAATATTTTAGGCATATATAACTACAGCTCTTTTTTGGAGGCTGATTACAAGATAATCTATCGCTATAGGATGAGAAATTAATTACGCTCGTAAGGTTCTTACATAACGTGCAATAATAAACTTAAGAAAAACAAAAGACAGTTTCGTAGATAGGTTTCATTTTTTGAAAAAGGGGAAGAAACTCCATTTTGTGGTTTGAAGTGGGGTTGTCAGTTACTACCTCCCCATTTCCTGGGACTTCCCACTGCTTCTTTAGCACAAATCATACTTGAGTGAAATAACTATTTTTCCACTCAGAATCAGTTATAAAAAGCATGTCAATGATACGAGCAGCTTAGTCTCCTGGTCTCATCAGAGAAGGCTTGTAAACATTTCTGGAAAGCGTGCTGGCTGGTCGGCTCATCTTTGGATGGTCAGTTTTGTGGTTCTGAAGGATCAAAGATTGGTTAGTGAAGGTAAGTAAGTAAAAGGAGGTGGTGGGTCCTACAATTCTACAATTCGACTACCTTTTCCTGTCCTTTCTATTCTCACCCTTTCTTAGACTGTTAGCATCAGAACTCAGATCCAGTCTTATGACATCCAGAACGCTCTCTAGCTTGTTAAGTCAGGGTTGAGTGGGAGTTAAAGGAAACATTCAGTAAAGAGAAATTAAGGCCAACACATTTCTTATATTCTAACGGACACATTTTGGACATTTCTAATTTTTATATTGAATTTTCATTTTTAAATTCTCTATTTGATTTCTTTTTGAGACAAGTTCTTGCTATGGAATCCCTTCTACTAGAACCTCCCAAGAGCTGAGAGATTATGGGCACATATTACCATACCTGGTTTGAATCAAATACTTTATAATATATATTGTCCTCTTTTACTAATTGCAACTCTGCTTAATTTATGCATTTCTAAATAAAGGCTTAAAAATATCAGCAGGATTTTCAGGGACAATGCAGCTCTTGACTTTATACAGTGATGAGATTCAGAGACAAGCACAATCACAATACATTCCAATTGGATTTTACTCTCAATTATTCAGTTCAGTGGGCTGTGCTATTGTTGTTCTGTGTGGCAGGATACAGTCAAAGTGAATACGATTTATACTGATGATACTTTTCAAATTCTCTGAGTAGTTTGAGGAAAGCCTATCTTTGGTATTAAAGACAACACATGCAAGGGCAGACTTTTGTTTGAATTAGCTTTTGATTTGCTCAAGCAGAATTTTCTTTTGTACTTATCTATCTGTGCTTGAATATAAACCTGGTTCAGACTCCGCATATTTTTATTAATATTAATCTTTTTGCATAGATCAGTTTGAGATAATTGAGAAGCCTTTGGCAGTTTGAAGAGTGTTTGAAATATGTGTTATACAACCATATCGCATTGGCAATCACAGATTATTTCCAAAGTGATATTTTCAATACTTCCACCAATCACTGAAAAATTTGCAAGATTTTTATCTCTCCAGGCTCTTTTTAAAAGTTTTTTTGTATTAGCATCATTAATTCCATAGAGTTTCATTATATTTTCATCTATGTATATAATGTACTTTGATCATATTTGTTCCCCTGACCGATCCCCTTTCTCTTCCCAAATTCCTCTAGGGTCCTAACAAATGTTACACAATATAAACGTATCTTTAACGAAATACAGTAACTTTCTCTTGAATTTTATTTTAAAGTTTTAAACTTGCATAGAAGTTGAGAGACTATTATAACCAACACTTATTACATAGATTAGTCAGTTATATCATTTTGTTACTTTTACTTTTCTTTCTCAGTGTCTCTCTCAGTTTCTTTTCCTGAATTATTTGAGAGGATACTGTTGACCTTAGGACACATTATCCTTAAATACTTCCATGTATATTTCCTAAGAAAAAGGGTGGTATTTCACATAATTACAATACTATTATGACATTAAGGAAATTTAACATCAACATAACATTATTATCTAACATATGACTCACCTTCAAATTACTACATTATCTGCATGTGATTTTTTTATTGCTTAAGTATTTTTTAATTGCTTAAGTACAAGATCCAATCAATGATCTTGCATTGCATCTGGTTATCATATGGACTATCGAGAAAATGTTAATAGCAATAGGTATAATTGGCAAGAATAATATCAAGAAATTTTAATTTCAAAGAACACTGTTATGGTCAGTATTCTTATCTTCCTAGCCCCTAGTATGTGCTAAATATATGAAAATTAAATTGAAAAAAAATACTCATAAGGTTTGACTTTCCAATATGTGAGATGGCATGAAAAAGTATGGGGAAAATTCAACCATGAAAAAAATATATTTACTACTAGTTTAGCACTAAATTTTACATCTTTGAAATGAGAAATTTCTTACATTAGGTAAAGCCCTTGAAAGTAGCAATTACCTTTGGACATAAGAATCCAAGCATAACTGAACAAAGTTATTTATTTACTTGGGGAGGTTAATGTGGAGAACAGAGGATTTTTGATTTACAGTTTTATAATATTAACCATCAGTTATATTTCCAGAAATTAATTTGTTAAGTAAGAGTCAATTTACATTTGATAGGAGAGCAGCCATTCCCAAATTATATGTTTTGTAACAAGAATGGAAATAAGGATGAGTAAGAGATAAACTACTTTTTTTTCTTGTCAGTTGTGGGGCTTGAACTCTGGGCCTGGACGCTGTCCCTCAGCTCTTCAGCTCAAGGCTAGTGCTCTACCACTTGAGCCACAGAGCCACTTCCAGTTTTCTGGTGGTTTATTGGAGATAAGAGTCTCACGGACTTTCCTGCCCGGGCTGGCTTTCAACCGCAATCCTCAGATCTCAGCCTCCCAACTAGCTAGGATTACAGGCATGAGCACCCATGAAATGATCTACCAAAGGGATAGAATCTAAGGCTTCTGATTCAGTGAGTTTCTAGTTGTAAAGAACAGGCATTTAAAAAGCTATAAGTAAAAATTTTAAATGTGTGTGCTATGGGATGTAAATGGTTCACATCTGTAATCCTAGCTACTTAGGCTGAAATGTGAGGATCATGGTTCAAAGCCAGCGTAGCAGAAAAGACAATGAGACTCTTATTCCCAATTAATCAGCAAAAAAACTGGAAGTGGAATTGTGGCTCAAGGGGTAGAGTGCTAGACTTGAGCATAAAGTCTCAGGGAGAGCACATAGGCGGGGATTCAAGCCCTAGGGCTGGCACAAAAAAATGTTTATTCCATTTCACAGAGGGAGAGTCCTCCTGAATTGGAGGACTGTAATTGGAGTAAAATTTTTGTATCATTCACTTAAAATATATTAAAACATATCATTCAGACTTAGTTACATTATCAAAATCAGATTATGAACAAAACAATATTTAAATTCTTAATGATAATTTAATATCATGTTCTTTCAAACCAGAAAGTCCTCCCAAATCAATAAGATCTTAAAACATTTAGATTGGTAAGGATACAGGTTGACCCGTTGTAACAATAAGATATACAAGATATGAACAAGATATGTACAAAACGAACTTTACAACATTGGTTGGGGGGGGAGGGAAGAGTCAGGGAGGTGAGCAGGGAAGGGATGGTAGGGGAAAAACAAAGGAGGGGGTAACAATGCTCGATAGGAAATGTACTCATTACCTTACTCATGTAACTGTAACCCCTCTGTACAGCATCTTTACAATAAAAATATATACACAAAATTTAGATTGGAATTACAGGATCTACAATTTATAGTATGGGCCACAGCTCCATTTCCAGCTTTTTGGTAGTTTGTTGGAGGTAAGAGTCTCACCAGCTTTCCTGCCCAGGCTGGCTTTGAACCACCATTCTCAGATCTCAGCCTCTTGAGGGGCCATGATTTCAGGCATGAGCCACCAGCACCGAACTCCTACACACAATCTTAATGAGGAGCTTGCTTCACTTCCAAAGGTAAGGCAAGCATAAATTTGCTCACCCAACTGGAAAATTTAAAAAAATGTGTTGAAGAATGTCAGTGGAAACAATCTTAAGCATTGCTGGCAAAAGAATAAATTTGTCTAAGCTATTTGAAAAGCAATTTGGTAATAACTGTGATCTAATTATTGTCCTGTTCCAAACTGGCTTAGGGAAACGTTCATGGAGACATATGCAATGACAGCACATAGTGTTCACTATGAAAAATGATTTACTAAATAAGATATGCTTACAGATTTTTTATTTCCTGATTGGCTTACAGGGATGAGGAGCCTTTATTTGTGCCAAAGGCAATTTGGATATTTATAACATCATTCTAGGGCTACAGAAAATTATGAATACAAGCAGATGGCCATGGCCAGCTTATGAGAAGCATACATGTCTAGCCTGTCATGTATCTGAAGCGGGAGGCTCCCTACCCCTGGAAGATGGCTCTATATAAGCAGATATGATGGCCAAACCACCCTCCATGTACCTTGGCCTAAGATTATTTGTGCGATAGCACATTTTTCTCTTCAATTCCATGAGATTGTATCTTAGACCACTGATTCCACTATTTTGTAGAAACTGGAGGTCTCCTTAGCATCCATTCCAATCCAGTCTCTTCAGGCATGTTAGTTCATCCTTGCCCCAAATACTTTTTCAAGAAGCAAGACCTGACCTGTCCTGATTCCTTATCACCTCAAATCACCACCTTCCTTAGTCACTTCACTTTCCTTTTGCTAGCACTTGCCACTCATTCCAAACATGGTTCCAATGACTATTTTACACTTCATGGTAGCAGCTGGGTTATATAAAAGGAAGTCCTTGTGATTATTGTAAGGGAAGGAAATTCCTAGACTCTGTTTCTCATTTAGGGATAAGGATTCGTAATGGATGGCCTAAGTCTCTGAAGTGTTAATATTTGCGATAATATTCGAAGGTCATGAGGCCGGAAGATAGATTGGCAAGCTCTCAGGAAAGAAAGATGAACAGCTGGGCGCTGGAGGCTCACGCCTGTAATCCTAGCTACTCCGGTGGCTGAGATGTGAGGATCTCTGTTCAAAGCCAGCCCAGGCAGGAAAGTCCTGTGAGACTCTTATCTCTAATAAACCACTAGAAAACCAGAAGTAGTGCTGTGGCTCAAGTGGTAGAGCGCTCACCTTTAGCTGAAGAGTTTAGGGACAGCACCCAAGCCCAGAGTTCAAGACCCACAAGCGACAAAAAAAAAAAAAAAGATAGAAAGATGAACAGAGGCTCAGTGTGGCTAGCGTCATGGGACTTTTGGGGAACAGGCAGAAATGAGGTAAGAAGGCAGACAAGTACCAATGCACCATGAGGGCCTAGCAGGTGCGAATGTCTGGAGATGATTGGGAAAAGTAAACAGGGCATCTGTAATACTCAATTACACTGTAGAAAATGGTAGTAAAAGAGTGACATAATTCTAGACTATAGCAGTGATATTTGTTAAAAAAAATCATTCATATGCTTAGATTTTTGTTTTTACATTTTTTACTGTAAAGATACTGTATAGAGGGGTTACAGTTACATG